TTAGGACCTAGATGTGAAACATGTTCGGATGGATACTTTGGAAATCCTGAAAAAGATATAGCTTGCAGACCTTGCGATTGCAACAACAATATCGATTTAAATGCTGTAAGAAATTGTAATCATAAAACTGGTGAATGTTTGAAATGTGTAAATAATACGGCTGGTTTTCATTGTGAAGAATGTCTTCCAGGCATGTAAAATATAATTTTGCTTTTTTAGTATATTTTTTTAATATTTTAAGTAATTATATTTATTATATTCAACAGGATATTATGGAGATGCATTATCTGATCGTAAAGAAGATGGATGTAAGCTATGCCAATGTTATCCACCAGGTACAATTGAACTTAATGATGGTAGAGTAGCACCTTGTGAACAATTAACAGGTCATTGTACTTGCAAATCTCATGTGATTGGTCGAAATTGTGATAAATGTGAAGAAGGATATTATCATATATTAAGTGGAGAGGTATTTTAAATTGCTGAAACAATCGTTTTACAATATAAGACGAATATTAGCTTGTCTTAAATTAAATAATTATATACATACATTTTAGGGATGTACGCCTTGCAATTGTGATGCTGAAGGATCTTATAATCGTACTTGTAATCCTGTTACTGGTCAATGTGAATGTAGACCTGGAATTACTGGACAACATTGTGATGCATGCGTTCCTTATCAATATGGATTTAGTAGAGAAGGTTGCAAACCTTGTGATTGTGATAGTATTGGTTCTCAAGATTTACAATGTGATGTCAATGGACAATGTCCAGTAGGTTTAAAAATGTAGTGTTTGTACTATATGATAAAAAGTTTAATTTATTTATTAATAAAATAATTATTCCTATATTATAGTGTTTACCAAATGTAGAAGGAAGACGCTGTGATCGTTGTAAAGAAAATAAACACAACAGACAAAATGGATGTGTCGATTGTCCTGATTGTTACAATCTTGTTCAAGCTGCTGTTAATAATCATAGAATACGTTTAACTGAACTAGAAAATACACTTAAAAAAATTAACAGTAGTCCAACAGTTATAAAAGATTCAGATTTTGAAAAAGAATTAAAAAATGTTCAGGATAAAATAAAGAATCTCTTACAAATTGCAAAACAAGGATCAGGTAGTAAGTATAATTTATATGATTCTTTTATGTTTCTCGAGTTATTTTCAATTGAATTCGATTTTTTTATTAATAATTTTTAAGTGAAGAAGAAAATAAAAATAAATTGTTATTAAGTATATAAAATTATTATATAATTTTAAAGTTTTTCTTCAATCATTATAAGTTTTTTATTAATTAAAATAAAAAACAAGATTAAAACGTAAAAAATGTATTAGAATTAATAATATTACTTGGATGAGATTATGCGAAGAAAATGTTTTAGGTGAAAATAAAACTTTGGTGGAACAACTTGATGAATTGCGCGATCAATTAAATGAAATTAGTGAAATCTCTCATACTGTAAATTTAACTGCTTCTGATGCATATAAAACTACTTTAGAAGGTTTAATGAATATTGATGAAGCAGAAAAAGTGCTTGATAAAATACATGCTCAATTAACTGTAAGAAAAATAATATAATTTTATATAAAATTTATAAAAATTAATATATAAATCAAATTTTTATCATTAAAATATTAGGAAACAGAAGATTATTTAGCTACAGATGGAGCAACTGCATTAACAAAAGCGAAATTACGCGCAGAACAAGTTGGTCAAGGAAATAAACAAATGACTTCAATCGCACAAGAAGCGCGTGTATTAGCAGATTTGTGAGTAATTTAGTTTTATAAATTTTAAATATTTCTTTAAAATATATCTATATATTATTTTTTATTTATAGAAATGTTAATGAAGCGAAAAAGATACATGCACTGGCAGAACGAGCTCGAAATACAACAATAGAAGCTTATACTCTTGCAAAGAAAGCTATAGGAAAATATACTAATATAACGTATGTATTTATTCATTATTTTATATTAAAATAAAGTAATAATATAATTATTATTACATATTATGTATGATGTTTATATTGGTAGTTTTCAAAATTATTTTAACTTCGTAATTTTATTTTAACTATCGTAATATTTTAAAAATTGATTATGTACTTAGTGATGATATTAGAGGATTGGAAAATAAGTTAGAATTATTAGAGCATCGTATGAATGAAGTGAAAAATCTTACCAACATAGCAGCCACTAAATCATCCACTGTTTCACAAGAAGCAATAGATTTATTGATTCTCGATTTAGCACTTCCACCTGTTGACATCGAGCAATTGAGAAATCAAATTGAAGATGTGAATAATGAAGTAAATATAACAAATATTGTTATTGATAATAATTTATGATAATTTAATTGATAATAAAATATTATAGGGATTGCGATTGAAAGAACAAGCACAATTATTATTAGATCAAAATGAAAATCTTATAAATGAAATGGCACAAAAAATAATAAAAAGCGAAGAGTTAATAGAACGAGCGCAGGATCAACAAGCAGCTACGGCCGAACTTTTGGCTGAATTAGATGGTGCAAATGAAAAAGCAGATGATGCTGTAAAACGAGGAGATCAAACATTGAAAGAAGCTCAGGAAACATTAAAGAAATTAGGCGGTATATCTTATATTTTTATATTTTTATATTTTTAAAATTATTTTTATTGATAAAAATGATAATTTCAAAAAAAAAAAAGGGAAAATTGTATCTATTAATTATGATATTTCTTTTAGAATTTCATGCTGAAGTAGAGCGTGAACGTATTAAAGCTCAAAATGCTTTAAAAGACACTAAAAATATTGAAGAATTAATCATAAATGCTACAAATCAAGCTTTACAAGCTGAAAAAAAATTAAATGGTTCTGAAAATAATGCTGAATATGCACGTAAAATAGCACAAGATTCTCAAGTTAGTATAATTAATGTTATACATGTATAACATTATATAATATAATATATATTATATAATATAGTATATTTTCTATATATTAAATACAAAATATTTTTACATCAGAGATATGCAGAAGAAGCTAGTGCAAAAGCAAATGACATTAGAACTGAAGCGAATAAAATTAAAATAGAAGCAGTTCGCGTAGGAAATGAAGCTGAAAAATTACATCAGAGGGTAGATAGTACAGATTCTATGATGAAACAACATGAAAATCAAAGTAATCAAGATACAAATATTACAACTGAAGTAAGGCAGTTATATATAATATTTAATGTGATAATTATATAATAAAAATTATGTATATTATTTAATTTTTTTAGGCAAATCATAAAGTTGGTTTAGCTAAGATTAATGTAACATTAGCATCACAGCAAGTCGATAAAGCTCTAACTGAAGTAACTGAAATAATAAAAGAATTAGAAAATCTACCGGAAATTGGTATATAATTTTTTTATTATAATTTTATAATTTATTTTATTTTAAATTAAATTAAATATATATAAATTTAATTTTTTGTTTTTAGATAATGCTGATTTAAATAGATTAGAAGAACGCTTAGCTGCAGCTGAAAAGGAAATTGCAGCTGCAAATCTAGATCAAAGAATTCGTACATTAACTGATGCAAAAAATTTACAAACACAATGGGTAAAGAATTATGAAGATGAAGTCAGTAGATTAAGAATGGAAGTTGAAAACATTGATGAAATAAGAAAAGTTTTGCCTGTTGATTGTCAAAAACGTTTACGACTTGAACCATGAAAAATGTTTTTAAACTTGTACAATATTTAAAAGTAAAACTGTTCATAATGCTATAGTGCCTTACATGCATTGAAGAAAGAAATAAGATTTAAAAGACATTAAAAAAACATAAACATATATTTAAAATAATAACTGCAAAATTTATCATATATCTTATTAAAATTAAGATTCGTACTATATATTACAACTTTCTTCAAGAATTGTAAAGTATATTTAAATCATAAATTTATGACAAAACTAAATAAGTTATAATTAGTGTTAAATTATATAACATTAGTGTTAAATAGGCAGATATTACTTGAATATTTAGTTTTAAAACATTTTATTTAACATATCGTTTATAGTGTGATTTTATATTTTTTCTTTTTTCTTTTTTTAAATATTATGCACTTTTATATACAAACAACTGATATAATGACCATCATACCAAAGATTTTATCATAGACACATTTTTCGTTATTATAATTAGGCCATTTGCATTATTCAATATATTGATTTTTATAATACAGTTTATTTATACGTATGTATAAACATGTATATAGTATCTATATACAATCATTTACAAAATGTTCTTTTAAGTTTTAAGAAAGTGTCAAAAGTTCCTTAGAAGGATAATTTTTTAATATACAAAATCGAATAATAAATAAATTAGTATATGTTGTATGGTTTGCTTATAAATTATTAAAAATCTGTATGAAAATATTTTCAGAATTAGAAAGAAAATAAAAATCTAAATATATATTATAATATATATATTACACATTATTTTTAAGTATGATATAACATTTTTATACAAATTTTTTATACGTATATAATATGAATAAACAATAAATAAATATCAGAGAATATATGATGTAATATATTAGCATGTTATATTTCAAAAATATATAAAATAAACTAAATATTTTAGATCAAAGTATACAATATTTTATCTGGAAATAGTTTTTCAGGGCAACACAGAGAATATTTATTTACTGACATAGGATGTTATATTTGATCTTATTTGCAAATGTGAGATCAAATTGTTAATACATTTTTTATGATTATAATATTCAATTACGTTTATATTTATATTCATCAAAAATAAAAAATCACATTCTCATTTTTTTTAAACAATTTATTTTGAGTGATAATATTGATGATTGATATTAAAAAATTTGATTTATATTAAAAAAATGTTTATTTCTTTTTTAAAATATCGAAAGATATTGAAATTAATACAATTTTTTAAAAGAAAAAATATTTAAATATTTCAATTTAATTAATTGCATGCATTTAGGGAAGGAAGTTTTATAAAGATCCTGTCAAAAATAATAACTATAAATATTTATTATAATGGATCATAGATTATCGCTAACTTAATAATTTATTATTAAAACAGAAGTTAACACATTCATCTAAATGCTATGAAGAAGAACCAATAAATTCTTAGGGAAACTAAAAAATTAAACATTTCACTTAATTATAAATAAAATTATTAGAAACACCAATATAGCGGTCAACACTCCAATGGCTACCCATTGTCTCCGATCTAAAACAAACGGAAAGTAACATCACATGCGTCACTTATGAAAAAAGTAGTCAGAATCAAGAGATTTTATCGTCATTCATTGAATGACGTTAAAATTAAATGAATAACATATTGTATAGTATACTATATAAAAAAAATTAATACTTATATATTTGGCCCTTCTTCAAACAGTAAATATTGTACATTATTTTCAACATGCATTCATTAACAAGCAGTTTATAACAACATTATGCTTTTTATATTGATACTTTGCACTCTCAAATATTAAATAATAAAATAATAAATTTTTAATTATAAATTTGCTATTATTAAAAAATTAAAAAATAAAAAATGATTAAAAAATTAAAAAATAATGATATTGATTTTATTATTTTATTATCATTTATAAAATTTGATATAGTCTAATAAAAAGATTTTTGATTTTTTATGTATTTTAAAAAATGTTTTAATACATCCTCTATAAACTTTAATAATTAGAATGCAAAGAATCAATATTATAAAATAATTTAATAATTTAATTGATTTCTAAAGTTACATTTTGAGTTAAAATTATTCATACATAACAAGCAGTAATTGTAACATTTATTAAATTAGAAAAGCTTCAGATTGATAATTCTTATTAATTTTTTAAACATTACATAAACACAAATACAAATTCTTTGCATAAACATATAAAAGCAATAATTAGAGCAGAATGATACCTGTAAGACACATATTTATAAATTTTGAGTGAAAAAAATTATATTCCATGATTGAGAGATCTTATAATAAAATTTTAAGTATAAATTGTCTATTTATATGATTATTAAAAAAAATTAACATAATAATTGAAATAAAACATTGAAAGTTATTTTTGATAAAAATTTAATTATATTAAAAATATAATAATATATATATTTATTATTATCTCTCAAGCAAAGAAATCAATATGTAATGAATTATTATTGTTGTAATTATTATTTAAATAATTTTAATGGATTAGGAATTTGGTACTTTACAGCAACATATACAATATAAATAAAGTCTCCAATTTTATTTATCAATATGTCTTCACAATTGGTCATTTATGCAAAATAATAAAATATGTATAATTTTTCTTTTTAGCTTTTAAATACAAACTAAAATAAACAATTTCTGTTTTATGTATGAATTCACAACATTATATTATTAATACTTTTTTAACAATGAATAAATATTTCAGTTTTTAATTTTTAAGTTTTTCTAATGTTTCATTTTTTTTAAAATGAAGAGAGTTTTAAACTACCTTATAATACTTATGAACAATCTCATTCACATTGAGAAACAATCAATCAACAATCATCATACGTACAAATAATTATTTTCACATTTTGCTCTTCTTTCTCTTCAACAATTTTCTTTCAAACTTTTCAAACTTTATATTTTTGTTTACATTCATTACACACATAAAATGATTGGTATTTTACAATGTTATATGAATATTTCACACTAGCATGTCCTAAACTATTTTTCATCTATGACTCAATCAATATTAATATCATATATTAATATCACATATACATTGGAAGTAGAAGTATCAGAAGTTTTAGAATATACTAAGAAACAGTATGTATCTGTCTATAAATGTAACATTAAAATTTTTCCAGGCACAAATTATTTGTGCTTTTTCTTTTATTTTTATATTTACCTTAAAATATTTGACAAAATCTTAAAATTCTTCTAATAATCTAAAATTAATTGAATATATTGAGGTATTTTTATACAATTTATCTATAATTTTTTAATATATAATAATTTTTTTAATTTTTTGATTTTATTATTGAATTTCAAACTATTTTAGCTATTATACTATATAAATAATAATTACTTGAATTATATTAAATTACAGAAATTTTAAAGATAATTATTTTATGGAAACTGCAACTGGTCCATTTTAATACTACAGTTTTAGCATTTATTTAAATCTGAATATATATAACTTTCTCAAAATTTATAGATTTTCTAATTATTTTATATAGATTTTTAACAATTGTTTATATTAAAAAATTTTTTTCTTTATTCTCGTTTATTCTTATTAAATAAGAAACAAATTCATGAAATGTATTAAAACATATTGCATAAAAAACATATAAAGACATCCACAAGTCAAAATATAAAATTTAATTCTTAATTTTTGAATAATAAAATAAAAAAGAATGGCAAAAATTTTTAAATTAAAATAGTAATTATTATTAGATATATGTATTAATTTTTATTTTTATCTGATATTTATAATATGTCTTAATTTGTTAATTTGTTTTATTAAAACATTAAATATTAATTAATTTTTCTCAATTGAAATAAAAATAATAAATAATTTTTAAAATTAATATTTAATATATTTTATTTATGTAACTTTTTGCTTATAAATAAAAACAAAAAAATTATTTCATATAATGAAATCAATATCAATATTTCATTGTATTAATTATATGTATTAAAATATGTATTATAATATAAATGCATTATATATAATTTAAATATATATGCATTAAATGTAATTTAAAAGTTAAAAAAAAAAATAAATTTACAATTTATTTGATTGATTTTTTCCTTTAAAGATAATTTCAATTTAATGAGACTTCTACTCTCCAATAAATTATTCTTTCTAAATAATTACATGTCAATATAATCCTACATATTTAATAAAAAAAATCAAAAATTTAAAAATAAGTGCAGTAGTGCTAAGAATCAATTTAAATTAATTAAGAGAATATAGGAAATGACTTATTTTCATAGGTGATTACAATATGCAATGTTATTGTAAAGGCAAAATGAATTATTAAATTCATAACACAATTCCATAATTTTTCAGTAAATTTTGGAAATTATTAATTTTTAATAACATAACAATTAGATAATAATAATAAAGCTAACTTAACATTTTAAATAAATATTAATATTTATATTTAATATTTTAAATAAATTGAAGAAAATAATTGATTTGAAGAAAATGAAATTGAAATTATTAAATGAAAAAATATAATTATTAATTATATAATTAATAAATATTACTGAATAATTATGATAAAATTATAATAAAAATATTTAATCTCCAGAACATAAGAAACAGTTAGTTATTGTATTTGATAAAGACGATAGAGAAGAAGGTTTAGAGGCAAGATCAGAAACACTAGATGTTGCAGTAGTAGGAGCAGGAATGTAATTATTATAGTTACCATTACTCATATGAAGAACTTTGGCCATTTTTTTCATTGTTGCATCTAATTTAGAATCCGTTACTTCTAATTCATTACCAAATTCATCTAACATACTGAAATGATTGATATATAAAAATATGTTAATTTGGAAAGTCATTTTGTTAATAACAAAAAGAATAAATAAATATATTTAATAATAACTATTAAACTTACACTGCTTGTTCATCTAATTCAGTATTGATTTGTCTAGATACTGTTTTCAATGTTCCAATACTTTCACCTATCATATCTAATTGCTCATCTTGTTGTCTCATCATATCATTTTGTTGTTGTAAGGTATCTCCTAAAAATTGTCTATTTGGACTATCAATTTCATTTTCCAATTTGCTATATTTTGTTGTGCCATGATTGACAGGAACTCGAGCAGGACTATTATCTAAAAGTGGCTGCAAGACATAAGAAGATATAAATATATAAATTATTAGATTAAAAAAATAGCATATATAATGAATAAACATTTATTTATTGAAATAAATTAATAAAAATATCAAAATATTTAATTAAGGATTTGATAAATATATTTAAATTACAGAAAGTTATATGTTAAATCATAAAAAGTTTTATTTTATATACGATAGTAATGATATCAAATATGATTGATTTACCGCATAAACCATTTTTTTTTTTCTATAATTCTAATTGATAATTTTATTTGTATATTCAGAGATAAGGAACAAGTTTGATAATCACTATCAATATTATTGGCAATTTGACAGTTTTACATAGGTGTCGCATCATATACGATAGTAATTTACGAGCGAAATTTAAAAGTATAAAGTGCTATTTGTATAAAGTTAAACATCTTGTAATAAATTATATTATAAAATTTGAAAATAATAATAAATATTACAATTATAATTACATTATATAATTTATTACAATTTATTTGCAATATATTATAATCATAATATTATAATATTGTAAATATATTGTATATATAATTATATTGAAATATTTTAAATTATAATCGAAATTTTCATTGCATGTTTCTGAAAAATATAAATGATATACTAAATGACAAAAATTATAAAATTAAAAGAAAATATGTAAAATTATTTAATTTCTACAAACCTGCCTTGCTGTGTTATCACGATCCCGACCTCTACTTAAATTCATTTTATCCTTCATGGTCTGTAATAAATTAATAATAATTGATATATATATTTTCATAAAATTTATTTAACAGATATTTAATCGAATTTTTAATTGATATAAATATTAAATATTATACAACAAATATTACCTTAACTTCTTCTCGTGTTTGTTCGATAAAACTTCGTTGAACCGTTAATTCTTTATTATCTATTTTAAACTTTGTTGGATTTTTTTCTACAATACGTATATATACATATGCATACATATATATATATATAGTGCGTTAAGAAAAATATAGAACATAGAATATAGAATACAAAAATTTAAAATTTATAAAAAAGTTTCAATCAATTTTATACAAATATAGAATTTAGAATAAATGAATAATAATTACAATGTAATGTCAATTATCTAAATTTTTCTTATTCAATGACGGATTATTTGAATATAATGAATATATATTTAAATTATATTTGAAAATGTTTTAAAAAACATTTTAAAAAATGCATTTTGTAATAGTATACAAATTAATTTTTTATAATATTCTAAATATATATTTTCATATATATTATATTATTATATATATTTTAATATATTAATATATAAAAATATATATTTCATAATATTCTCTTATGAGATACATATTATTATATATAATAATTATTTGAAAATTATTGTTTTTTTGTAATTGAATTATAACATATTCATAAATTTAGTTTTTCCTAATCGATTATCCGAAAAGTCGCTTATGAAAAAATGATTTATTATTATCGGATAATCGATATTATATTATATTTCTAATAAATATGTATATTATATTCATTATTATTAAATTTCAATAAAAAAAATAATGTCACGGTTTATATATAATATATAATATATATTAAAGGATATAAATCGTATCTTCTAAATCATCAAGATCCCATTCGATTGAACGTAAAGCTTTCCGTAATTCAGTAGTAGTCCACTCTAATTCGTCGCGTGAGATTGGGATTCCCCCACTCACAGTAGGACTCGTGACAACATCCTGTAATTCCGTCCAGCGCCCGTATAAACCGCGATTTTTATTTAAGGCTTTACAAACTTCGCTATATAACAAAAAATAAATTTATTTATATTATAAATTATAAAACTAATTAATAATTAGATATTAAGTTTCTAATATCATTAGTAATAAATATTTTGTATTATAAAATATATTATATAAATATAAGCATTGACAAGTATTATATAATCTTAAAAATTATATTTTATTTAATTAAAAAATTTTTTTTTAATAATATTAAAGTATAATTATATATTTTATATATTATAAATTATATTTTGTGTATATTATGAATTTATATTATAAATTATATTAGAATATTAAAATTAATTCATAAAAATGTAAACGTTTTTTAATAATTATAATATAAAAAGTATAAAAAAATTATTCTAAAGAATTTCATAAATTTTATAAATTTCTTTTTATAATACATAAATATTAAAAGATAATAAAATCTAATTGCTTTTAATCTAATTACGAATAAAAATTCAATATTTTAATAAAAATAATATCAAAAATAACGTGTTGAACAAATTTAATAAATAAAATAAAATAATAAAATCAAAAATTAAAATTAGGTATTTATAATATACATATATATTAAGATAACATTCATAAAAAAATTTTTTTGAAAATTTCTTCAAGTAAAAGTTATTTTAAAATAGAATGTATAGTTTTCTTTGTAATAATTTATCCTGACTATTCATAAAGGGCTAATGTATATATACAGTATCAAAGAGACAACAAAAGTTTAGTAATTGTAGTAATTGTTGTATAAATTTGACAAAGCTGATATTAATTTATTATTGATAATTTATAAAATTAAAAAATATTGATTTAAAATTTATCATAAGATTATTTTTTACTTACTCCTTGACGACAAAGAACGGATTCTCTAGCGTCATTCCTTCTTTTAATTTAAAGAGGTGGCCTTTCTCGCCGCCTCACGGCACCCACAGAAATACGTATACACAATTTGTCGATCATCGGTAGAAATTCCAAACTTACAGAACTATCGATAGTCACAGGAACGATGACAATAATCAAATTGACACTTGCTCGCGCTCTACTGTTATGGTATACAATGTCGTGATGTATTGTGACGTCTGTTCTGAGTCTTCCTGCAGACGACTATTTATTCGATTTTTTTTAATGTTCGTGCGCAACACGCCTCTCTAAAAGCCACTGTAATATTGATTTCGTGTAGAAATATTTAAAGTGAAGTTCACAGTCACTTATGATAACAAAAATTAATTAATATCAAAATATGATAAAATATATATAATGATTATTAAAATTTAATGCTTGACCATATTATGTAGTAAATTTAATGTTTTTTATGGCTAACTTAAAAGCGTTTGATTTATGCAACAACACTTGTTCATCTATATTCATAGATTGAAACTTGCGCATCAAAAAAATTATTTCGCGCCAATTCTTTAAAAATATTATAATAAATTGTAAACATTAAATTTATTATTATATTTTAATTTAATTTCAATATAATTACATATATAATAATTATACACATAATTATAATTTATCATTTACAACTAAAAAATAATTATATATATTTATTTTTAATTAGCTATATAAAAAAAATTAATAAGTTTGGAAAATTGTACATATATATTTCTGATATAACTTTATAAAAAAAATGAAAAAATCATAAAATTTTCAATTGTAAAGTTCAATATATAATAAATTAAATTATATTATAATATAGATTATAGAAAGATATAATAAATTAAAGATTAATAATATTATTGAATAAAAATGTATGTATAAATTTTATTACATAAAATATTTATATGTCTTTTCAAATATTTTATGTGATTTCTGTTTTTATATAATCATGAATTACAATATGTAGTAATAACTGATATTTTATGGCAATCTTTTAAAACCAATAAGTGAAAGAAATTATTTAAAAATTTATGTGTGTGTAAAAAAAAAATATTGTGTTGATACTTCTTAGTATTTGAGAACATATCATAGAGGAAAACAGTGGCTGGCTTTAGAAGATAAAATTCGTAAGTAAAAAAAAATATATTGTATCTATATAAAATTTGATATCCATAACCTCTTTTCTTTTGATCTAAATGCATTTAATTAAACACTTTCAATTTTATAATCTATTTCACAAATATATTTTTCATAAAAAATTAATTTTGATATTGAAAATGATAAATGTTACACAATAATAAATTAAATATATTTATATATACTTAAATATTTGCAATAACAATTTATTTTTCTATGAATATTTTTACAGTTTATTAACATAAAATTATTAAAATATATGTGTTTTGTACATTTTTATTGACTTAAAATTTGCAATATATATATTCTGAAAGTGCTAAAAAATATGTTTACAAAGCTAATATCAATATGCAAATTGTATTTTTTAAGGATTATATTCTTACAAACATTCTATTAAACATAAATATATATATATATATATATATTACATATTTATTTCTTGTTAGAATTCTTTGTAATATAAGAAAAAATATATTTATAGAATGTAATTTAAATATTTTAAATAAATAAAATTTTTTATAATATTAGAAGCATCACATTTTTAGATATATTTTTAAGAATATAATTTTTTTTTTAATTTTTTTAGTAAGCTAATAAATATGCATTAAATGATTTAACAAGATTTAACATTTATAATTATATATGAATTCTTTTATATGTAATTCTTATATATTATATATAAATATTCTTGCAGGCATATTTTATATCTACAAAGAATATTTTTGAACATTATACATAGAGTAGATTTTATATATATATATATATACTTGAATTAAAATGATATAGTACCTTTTACAAAATAAATTTTGTTTATATTTTGAGATATAAACTATCAATTTTAATAAAAATGCATAATCAACATAGTCCTTCATATTCATCTTCTTCATCATTATTTACATTTTTTGAAAATGCTGCTTGTGTTTGTTCTTTTTCAATAGTATCTTCTGATGATGTTTTTGGAGCATCCTCAGATTCTTTAATACTCATGTTCTAGAATATGATATATTTATATATATTGAAGACTTTTATTATAACATATATATATATATATATATATATATATATGAATAAAAATAAATTAATAAATAAAAAAATTTATTCTTTACTTGAACTTCACTTGTAGTTTCTTCCATTAATTTTGATGCGTTAGGAGATGTATATGATTCTGCTGCATTAGCTCTTACTCCTGGAGGAGGTATTGCATATTCTTGTTGTGGCAAAGGTAAACCTCTAGCAAGTTTAGCATATTCAACATCCATGTGTTTAATAAAAGGGTTATTTAAGGCTGCTCTTGCAGCATCTGCATCTTCATTGTCATATGCTTGTAATAACATTTCTAATGTATTGATCTAAAAATAAATAGAAATAGATAAAAATAAATATAAAAATTTTAATCAAAAAAAACTTAAAATTTCTAAAAGATATGATTTGACCTCAGGTGCTTCACAATAATTTCCCCATTCTTTGAAAGCTTTTTCAGCAGCTACTTGATCACCTCGAGCTAATTGTACTAAGACTAATGCTACTGTTAATCTACCAACAGATGGTGTATGATCTGTCTGTTGATGCATTCCAATTTCTCTACGGATTGCATCTGCTGCTTCATCATACATTTGTAGTTTTACTAATAATCTTGCCACTTTGCTCATATATTCTGCTGCTTGACGTGGACTATCTTCACCCTTCATTAAAAAATATATTAATATAATTTTTAATTTTTATTATTAAAAATATTATTAAAAAATTATTAAAAATATTATTAAAAATAAATTATAAATATCTTACCATAACAATACTAGCAGCACGTTTAAATAAGTCTAGTGCCTCTTGTGGTTGAGTAGCTTCTATCATTTTTCCTCCTTTATCAAGTACAGTTGCACCTGATTCAGGTGACCCATGCATCAAGTATAAAGAGCAAGCACTGTGTGCTAATTTTGAAACTTCTGTAAGATTTCCCATTTCTTTGCAAATTAAAGTAGCTTGTTCAATACTCCTATAATTATATATATTGATTTATAATATATGATAAATAAAATTTTTTTTTATAAAATATATCATTAAAAATTTAAAAAACTTACTTTGCAGCATGAAACCATCTTTTGTGCAGTAATGTTAAAGAATAAATATTTTAAAATTATATAAAACAAATTCAAAATCATATTATGAGTCATATAAAATGATTATTTTAATCATCTTGTAAATTATTACCTGTATAATAAAAAATTTTATAAAAAAAAAATTATATAATATAAATGGAAATATAATTTAATGTTATCAATTTCTTGCAAGTAAACATATAAAGAATATATAAAAATCAATTTTGTTTTTTTTAAATAGAAAATATATTTTTTAATACATTAATCAATAATGATTATTTCTCATAAAAAACTATTAAACTATTTATTATTATTAACGAAAACCAAGATAAAGAAACATTTCTTTTCTTTCATACAATGAATTTGTTTTTTTTCATTGAAAATTATTTATATTATAAAGAATTAGATCAATATATTAAAAATTACATGATTCTACTAAAAAAAAGATGATTTCTATATGTCTATTTATTTATTTATAAAAAAAATGTTATATTTCCATTTATACAATCCAATTTTAATGTTTTTTTATATAATAAATAATTTAAAAATTATTAGATTTGTAATCATGTTATATAATTCATGGTGTATATTTAAATACAAGAAATAAAATTTTGTTTAAAAGAAAGGATACGATCTATTTTCTTTATAACAATCAGAAGCTTTCATTAAGCAATCTTTACATTGTTGATAAGATTTTGCTATTCTAAAGCAAGTTGCTAGAATAAATAACAGAAAACATGTTATTTATATAACATTATATCAGTTATCAGAATGTTTTATTTTACATATTACTTTAAGTTATATGTATTATATCTAATATATTTTACCTGCACTTGTATATTCGTCAGCCGCAACTTCGAAATCAGGTCTCCATTTTAATAGTGATGTTTTCAAGCTATAATATAGATTTATTTTATTTGAATATATGGATCGATAAAAATGAAATTATTTTTATACTATAAAAAATATATATTATCGATTTCATATAAAAAAATTGACGAAAACTAGATTAATTGTTGACATAATTTTATACGACTTGTCATCTTGCATTAACAATACCTTTTCTCAGCTTGTCGTATATGAAGATTTCCTTCTTCAATTTTTGACATTTTTTTCCGAATGGTGTCTTAATTTGATTTTCGTCAGATTTGATGATTGTCAGTAATGAAATAATTAATTTCAGAATTATTTTTGTATTGAATGACTGTTATTGAACCACCATACAGACAATAGATTTTTCGTTCTACACGATTTAAATGTGTTAGATTAGTTTATCAATGTATGTGTCATTTTACATTGTATGTGAATACTTTGAGGTCTCTAGTAGTCTTACCATTTTAGTATCACTTCCAACTTTATCGATATTACGTGTACTTAATTAACTGCATGTTATAAGATTATAAATAGCGAATGAATTGATTTGACAAATAACATAATTTTTTTAATAGATGCTTCAAAAATTTTTTCTATTTTTGTTATTTAGTCAGACTTTTGTTTGTTTAAATTCCACCGTTATAATTGAATAGTCAAAACTGTATATCAGATTATATTATTTTATGAGATCATTCTAAAGATTTGTAAATTTTAGAATATTTATATTTTTTATATTAAAAACTAAAACAGATTGTCTTAAAAAAAAAAATATGTAATTGACATTTTATTTTGTCTATAATCACAAGATTAGTTTCTAGTTTAATAAATATAGTTTCTAGTTTAATAAATATACATAAGAATAGTAAATACTAAGAAAAAATAAAGGATATGATCAGAATATGAATAGATCACCAATATTTTTCTCTCTATATTTCCCAATACCTTAATACTATATCTCTCTATATTTTTATTTTTTTATCTCTCTTTCATTATTTTCTTTTTTATTTGAACTGCAGAATACATTTAAAATAATTTTGATTAATTTTATTATTTTCTTTACATAAAATATTGATTAACAATCTTAAATCTTAATTTTATTTATGCATATTTATGAATTAATCTAAGAATATACTGTATTATATAATAGTATATTTACTATAAATATATAACACATATTTTTTAAAAATAAATTTATTTCTTTATGAATTTTTCTTTTATTATTCCTTTTTATATTATTATCCTTTTTCATATAAATAAGTTTAAATTATAATTTATTTATTGTTTTTCTTTCTTAAATGATATAAATATTTAATGAAAATATATTTTGTTCATAAATCAAACAAGAATCGAAAAAAGTTTTGACAATCAGCGCCATCTTGCGTTTGGATTATCGAAGCTCCAATTCATTACTAGCATAACAGAATATGCAAAGAAGTATACGAATTAGCGATGTTATAAAACAAGGAAAGTAACATCTTTTTAGATGCGGACTTTCTATCTGTGATGTCACATAAATGAATATACTTCCTTGTATCTTCTACTATACTAATAACAAATCGAAGCTTTGAAAATCCAAATGCGAGATGGCGCTGATCTTCAATTCTTTTTTTTTTTTTTATTTATTTTACAGAAATATTTCTAATACTTAAGAATGGTGCTGAGAATCAATTCTTATATTTATTTTTTATCCTTTTTTTTTTGTTTCATTTGCACTAATTTTAATATTTTTATGCTATGTTTATACTAATTGTTCTCTTAGTTTATATTTCTTGTTGATACATAACAATAAAATATGGTATGATACTTACATATACTTACATAACATATTTTCGTCATTTTTCTTTCAAAATTATAATAAATTTTAATTTTCAATATTAAAAATATAGATCTTATCTTTTGAAATTCTTATATAAAAACAATAATAGTTCTATATTAAATCTAATTTTAGATTTAAGATTGGTCATAATTATAATTCTTATATCAAAGACGAACTAATTATTTCTATATTTTTATTACAATTTTTTTTTTATCTCAATAATGTATTATCTTAATCTGAATTAATAATATGATATTAGAATGATAGAGGCATGCAAATTATATGATACAAAATGCATTGGATGATCTATTTTATATCTAATCTATGATTTAATATTTGAAATTTTATTTTTAATTTCTCTGCAGTAGATGGTGTTGTAAGTAAAAAATTTTGATGTTGTTCATGTGTTATATTATTTCAAAGCAACTAAAAATATTGTTAATATTAATGATTTAAATTTAATGCTATAGATGTTAATATAGATTTCATGTATTTGTGATTTATTGCTTTTTCTTCATGTGATATATATATTTATATTATATTTTATTTATTAATATATATGTGAACACATTGGCGGGAAATAAGAAGACATTGTATCGAAATTTGTTATCTTTATTTTAATATAACTTTTGTTAAATCAATTAATTTTAACGTTTTAACATTTGTAAAACCAAGTAAGTTAATTCATAGTTTTTTACTATTATTAATATTCTTTGTTCATATTACATCATAACCTTAGAATATATATGTACTTTTAATTAATAATTCGTTTTTTTTTATATTTTATGGTTGACATTAATGTGTTTCTACAGAATAAATAAATAAAAAACATCAGATGGCAGAAAGATTGGAAGATCTTAATTTGCCAAATGCAGTTGTAACAAGAATTATAAAAGAGGCATTACCAGAAGGAGTTACAATTGCTAAAGATGCTAGAACTGCAGTAGCAAAAGCATCATCAATTTTTATATTATATTTAACATCATCTGCAAATATAATTGCTAAAAAAGGAAATCGTAAAACAATAAGTGGTCAGGATGTTATTCAAGCAATGAATGATATAGAATTTGATGAATTTGTTGATCCACTTCAAGAATCATTAGAAAATTTTCGTAAAGCTCAAAAAGAAAAGAAAGATGCAACATCTAAAAAAAAACAACAGAAAAAGGATGAAGATGATATAATAGAAGAGGAAGATGGTGGAAGAGAAGTTATGGTTTTTTGATATGTATTAAGTTACATATTATATAAATTATAATATGTAAAAAAAAGATATATACACATATTTTACAGAATTATTATTAAAATCTAATAAATTTTGTCACATTCTATTTATTATTATAAAATAAACTAAATAAAATATATTAATATAAAAAATTTAAATGTTTTAAATATTTTAAATCTTCATTAAAGATTACATTAGTTTTCAAAAATTGTTTCTTTTTAAATCTTTTATTTGTAATTTTTATTTTAATAATGTTTACTCAAAGAGTATGTATATATTAATAAAATATAAATATTTCAATTATTAATATTTTTAAGATATACTATACTTGAAAAATGAATTTTTATAAAAACAATTTTTTTATAAACAATTTATAAAAGCTTACTTAATTTTTATCTTTTTTTTTTTTATTATTATTATTAACTCTCAATTGTTATAATGGATTAAAATTATAATTTTACTTATAAAACTATATTTACAGATATATTTACAGATATGCCAGTCCATTTTATATAAAAATTATTTGTAGTTAAATTAATAAATTTAAACCCTCATTTTATTTCTTTTTCTCTAAATATTTAATATCTTATTATTATTTATATATTGAATAATAATAAAAAAGTTAGATAATTTTTATCTATTTTAAATGTAATTTTTATATATAATCTCACTTCTATAAAATATCATTGTTATTGAAAAAATAATAGTAAAATTAAACAATTTTCACATATATATAAATAAAAATTGTGTTTTTTAAAATTTTTGTTCAATAATAATTATAATTATACAAAAAATCAAACATTAAATATTAATTAAATCAATTAATCAATGGAAAAGGTATATTAAAATAATCTCATTTGATAAATTCTATACATATTATGAAATATTTTTCTTGTAAATGGAAATATTTGAAGTATATAGATATGTACTATACATATTATAATTCTTAAATAATAAATTTAAATAATAAATTATTCGTATTATCATTAACGAAATAGAAATTCTGAAAGACAAATGATCTAAATAGAATTATTTACAAAAAACATTATTCATATTTTAAGGCTTTAAAATGTGAATTTTATGTTCTATCACACTTCTACACATTGGACAATCTGAAGAAATCATATTTGCACAACCTGAACAACAACAAAGGTGCCCACATGGTAGAAAAATTACTTCACACTGTAAGAAAAGTAAGAGATTCTCAAGAAATGTATGATTTTAATGAATATAAAGATCTTTTAAATAAAATGAAAATTTTTTTTACTTGTAAATCAAGGCAAATTACACATTCGGCAGTATTAATACTCTGAATAGTATTATATTCTTGATAATTGGAACTTGTACAAGCTTCTTCTGGTGGTGCAGAGGGTGTTATAGATTCGTTAAGTTTTAATTCTGCTAAATAATTTTCAACTGCAAGTCTTATAGCAATACGATCGTTTTCAGAGTGTATTCCAATCTAAAATATTAAATATATAATTAAAAAGTGTGATAATATATAATAAAAGTAAAAATTTTTAAATATTTTACATACAGTTTTCAATTGTTCATCACTAAAATTTGGAAGTAATGATGGTAAAGAAACTAGGAATGGCAAACAATGCAATGCACCTGCTATTGCAACATGTCGTACTAACATTGGTTCTAGCATTTCCAATAAACCCTGAGGTCGTGTTTCCATTAAAGATTGATATTGCATTAACCAAAATTGACTTTTTCTTCTAGAATTCTTCAAAAATAAATTTTTATAAAATTATTATAAAAAAATCAAAACAATATTTAAATTTATACTTACAGTAATACAACGTTGTTGTTCTATACTATTAATTGTTTTTAGAAGTTGATTTCTTCTATTTTTTTGTTGTTCTAATAAATTCATTAAAATAGCACTCAAAGCTACTCTTTTTTGAGCTATTTCATTCTATTTAGTATAAAATAATAAAAAAATTTTAATTTCTGTTAAAAATTTTAACAGAAAGCTACGAATGTATATAAATAACTAGAAATATTACATACAAGTTGTTGATTAATTTCTAATTTTCTCCTCTCTAGTTCAATGTTTGTAAGAGCAGCTAATTGCGATTGTACCAAATTGACTTGTTGCATAATACTCCAATAACGTGCATCACTACGTTCTAGCAATGTTGCAACAGCAGCTTTTTGTAAGACTTCATCTTGTCTTAATGTATCGATTAAATTTTTTCTATTTTTTTCTTGATCTTGCATTATTTGTGCTAAATGATCATTATTCCTTACTTCTCTGAAATATTTGTTAGATATTAAATATATTTATATTTTTGTATAAAATATTATCATTATGTTACTA